TTGCTAGCGGCAGAGTGATATGCTTCTTAGCTGTTTCAGGGAATAGACAGCTTACCATGGTTCATGAAATTGCGGGATAATGAGGCAGTCCTTACAAAAGGATGGAAAGTCCGTTGTTTCTATTTTAAAACAAATCCCTCCGGCTAACAGATACGTGACTGAAGACCACATTCCGTATTAATTTCTGGAGAACGAAGAATACGTGATGAGATCAACAAGCTTCTGATTGCAATGAATTCTGACATTCGAAAAAATATCTTATATCACAACTTTTTGACAGAATCACCCACAATGTAGCTTTCCTTTAAAATGGAATTATGTATTTTATTTTATTGCTGAAACGTCACTCGAGCAGGGTTTATTATGACTAATAATAATCTGCATTTCAGCAAACCCTCATTTTTGCGTTTTGTCTGGGAGCGTTTTTAGCCCACTCTCCTCTAACAGGCTGTAAAGTTGGGCTGAAGTAATTGTTGTCCTTTTCTCGTTATTCAGTGTTTCGTATGCATTTAATTTTCCAAGGAAAATTTGGCCTTCTCGTTAATTGCCGATGAGAAGAAACGTTCGATATATGAAAAATCTCATCTTAGTGTGAATGCAGATTAGATCGCCAAACTTATTAAAATTTTATCACCTGTTTTACAAACTGTATGCTACACATGCTAAAGAGCGGTAAACAGGAAATATGGAAGATTCTGTAAATTGCCAGCAGTGTTTTTCTGAATCAGACCTTAGACTGCGTTTACTTTCTTCTTCCTATTAGGCATAAGTAAGGCACAAAAGCCCCGTTAATAACGCCACTGTTGTAATAACAGCTAAATGGTGTTCATTTTGTTGGAACTGCTGTTTTGGCCCTTCAGTGTCCTCTATGTTGACGAGTAGAGCACCTCGGTTTAATATTTCAACGTATGATTCGTTCATACCTTACAGACGTATTTCACAACCTTACTCAGACCCTGTGGCATCAAAAAATGACCTTTAATATGTAACAGAATTTAATATTTCCCCTCTGATATAAAGCAATCATATTCTGGTCATAGAGGGTCAGATCACGCTTGCGGTTTACTCCGGACAATCAGATTTGCACAGCTGTAACTTCACGTATATAATACATAATATATCCGCTTCATTAGCAAAATGTAAAGTTAAGGTTTATTTATGTGATAAGGTGACGGATTGATTGGCTGACACTAGCTTTCTCGCTTGCCAGAGAAATTATAGTGAAATCATTTCATTGTCCCGCCTAACTTTGGGGCAGCAGATTACGACTAAAGGGCGGAGGAGACAGCAGTTCCAAAGTATGTTCTCAGGATTATAGCAAAAAAGACAGAAATAAATTCTCTCTCGCACTGCTTCCATGATAAAATCATTAGAAGCCTAAATACGTAACTTTACTCAGACTTTTATGTCAGCGTCATTAATCCTTTGAAATCATAGAGATATTTGCTTTGTTATTTTACAAAAAACTGCCGACGCTGCGCTTCATTGAGATTCGTCAAGATAATAAGTCTTTACTTTCATATTTTAAAGAAAATATCGAATATAGTGTGACTTTATACTAACAATCACGCAGTGTTGAATAGGAACCAAGTAAAAGGACTCGTCCTCATCCTATGTAAATAGCGATGAGATGCATTGTTACACACTAATTGCTGGTTTACTATTCAATCTTTCTATGCATCCATTTACAGAACCTATTTCTCTTTCAGGTTGCGGTGGTAGTGGTGATTTTTCCAGCGGTAATACTCGTCTGCTAATCGGATGGGCTACAATGCTTAGATTTCAATACTGTAACCAAATATGCTCTAAGTGTATGGTCCTCGGCTTATTTATTTGTCACCTGGCATGTGACTAGTTCAAGAAAGTCGCCTCCCCCTCCCGGCGAGTGCGAGGTTTTTCTCTGGCACCTAAATTAACACCAGAATCAACGTTGTTTGATTTTCCATAGAATCGCTCCTCCCTCATACAAATCTTTTGCACTGTTATAGTAAGAAACCTACCTCGACCGTTTCCTTATTATGCCGTATCATCGCTGATTAATTACCTGTGTCATGCGATGCACTTGATATTCATTAAGGATACAACATGATTTTGAAATATGAAACGCCACTCGTTGTTTTATAGTATGGTAAACTGCTTTCCACGTTTCGGTTTGTATCTTACCTTCTCTCTTTAGGGCAAGGTGGTTCCTTCTTACTTTCGCTAGTGATTTGTTTTTACCGCAACAGCTGTCAGACTTTGAGCCATGAAGCACCCTTTCGATCCTTACTACCAAAATAATAATTTCTCGAAGTAGAAGTTTTTTCAGATTGACAGAAATACATCGTTTCAGCATGTCTATTGCAGGAAATGAAAAAGAAAGTACTCTGTCCTCAGTAAAACTCAAACCTTTTGTCAGTAGTGATATCTGAGTGAGTAGTTCCCAGTCGTGGATTCATTCTTCAGAGCTATCTTAATTGATATGGGTTGCTGAATCCAACTGTCAAAATGAAAGTGCTCCATTTTGGGTTTGACTGAGTTTACTCCGTTTCTTCATCAGCTTCACAGCGTGAAGAGAATAAGTACTTGCTAACCATATTTTGATTCCAGTCACTTACTTTGCTTCTTACTGACTATCACCTAATGCCTTTGTCGCTTGTAGTGTGCTG